TGTCTCGAGAGGCCTCATATATATATTAACAAACACCATTATGCCATCTTAGCAAGATTTGATACAAGGTCAATGGAAAACACAAAGATAAACACAAGTGATATCTAAGAATGATTATTGTTGTTAGCAAATCTTGTTCTGACTTTAATCATTCTATCTGCAGATAAACAGCATGTCATGAAAACCTAGGTCATTAAAGGATGTCATGAATTACTTACTTAAACATAAAAGTATTAGTTCTATTACACTTTTTAAGCAAATATTCACTCATTTTGAATTTGATCCCTACAACACGTTCCAAAAATGCTGGGACAGAGGCAACAAAGGACTGGGAAAGTTGAGAAATGCTAAAAAAAAATAAACACCTGTTTGGAACATTCCACAGGTAAACAGGTGAGTGTCATGAATGGGTACTATAAGGGAGCATCTTCGAAAGGCTCATTCATTCACAAGCAAGGATGGAGCAAAGTTCACTTCTTTGTGAACGACTGTGAGTAAATAGTCCAACAGTTTAAAAGCAATGTTTCTCAAGGTACAGTTGCAAGGAATTTATGGATTACATCATCTACGGTCCATAATATCATCAAAAGATTCAGAGAATCTGAACAAATCTCTGCAAGTAAGCAGCAAGCAAAACATTAAATTAAAAACTGACATCATTCTGTAAAAGATATTACAACATGGGCTCAGGAACACTTCAGAAAACCACTGTCAGTAAACATAATTTTTCGCTACATCTACAAGTGCAAGTTCCAAAGCCAGATAACAACAAGACCCAGAGATGCAGCTGTCTTCTCTGGACCTGAGCTCAGCTGAGATGGACTGACACCAAGTGGAAAAGTATTCTGTGGTCTGATGAGTCCACATTTCTAATTGTTTTTTTGGAAATCATGGACATTGTGTCCTCCGGGCCAAAGAGGAAAAGGATTTTCTAGATTATCAGCGCACCCCGAACTGTTGAGCAACTAAAGTTGTAGATCAAGCAAGAATGGGAAAGAACTCCACCTAAAAAGCTTCAACAATTAGTGTCCTCAGGTCCCAAACATGTATTAAGTGTTGTTAAAAGGAAATGTGATGTAATACAGGGGTAAAACATGCCTGTCTCAGCTATTTTTGGAACGTGTTGGAGGCATCAAATTCAAAATGGGTGAATATTTGAAAGAAAAAAAGGATGAAATACAGTTCATTTGTTTGAACATTAAATAGTGTATTTGATTGAATTTCATCATTGTACTAAAGTGTAAAAACAATAATAAATGCTGACGTTAGCTATATATCTTTAGCTTTATAATGTCACCCCGACAGGCCATAAAGTCCCACTTCAACAAACTCAAAGCGGCCCRCAGACCACCAGTTGATAATCAAGTTTTGCAGCTCCGGACACATTTTATTTGTAAGCGAAGGGTCAGGAATGGCTCTTTTGATGGTAAAGGTTGCAGATTCTAGTGGTTCAAGAGATATTTTGATAACTGACAAACAGGGTTGAGTCTRACAATTACAACCAAAGTTTTAGGTAAAGAAATCACATAATGTGTAGCTGTCAGGCTCTCTAAATGCCAAAGTTGCAATGGAATAATAATCACAAGAATACTTTCAAATTAGTGCTCACAGTGATTATTGAAACACAAAGACAACACCAGAACAACACTCGAGCCTTACAGACATTAGTGTTTGTTTTCTATACAGATTTTCTATTTGCAGTGCTTCCAACAAATCTATGAGAAAGGCTGAATGCAACCTGCTGTAAGTCAGACAGTGAGGTTTTTTTTATTATTCTTTTATGAATGCACAAAAAAGGCTAAGCAATAATACAATATTTTTGCAAGACACGATAAAAATGTGCTCAGAAAAGCAGAACTGGGGCTCTACTTGTCTCGTGAGAGAGGTCATTTCAGGTTATCACGCTCAAAAGAAAAAAAAAAGGAAAGAAAGAAGCGAAAGCTAAAATAGGAAAAAACAATTTAAGGCAGTTTTTCCAATTTGAGGTTTTAGGAGGCTGAATTGAAATCATGTGGCCATGACTCAGGAGGAAGTGCGGTCGCCTGCCAATCGGAAGCTTGGTGGTTCGATCCTGGCCTTCTCCAGCCCACGGTTTGCAAGTTGTGAACTTCCATTAAGAGCAGCAGCACTCTATGGCACACAGTGTACCCTGGCAGAATATAGAATCGGCTCAGAGAACACAACAAATGAAAAGGAATTAAATAGAGAAGCCCCAGCAACGTGATTTATGGGCATGATCACTAATAGGTGGGTGGTCATAATRTTATGGTTGATCACTACATGCATTTTGTAAAGAGCCTCAACAATAAACATACTATTCTCTGGAAAAAAAAAAAAAACATCACGTGCAGCCTTGCAGGTCAAAGTTTTAAACAAAGATCTTATGTAATTTTTTTTAGCACTCATGTGTTAGGGATCACGATCAACTGCATTGTGGTTGAATAAGAAGTATAAATATATAAAACTCTGATACTGTATTAGTTTGTACACAAACAAATCATGTCCCACTCCAGCAGGACATAATCATTAAAATAAAAGGACTGTTATCCTTTCTGAGAGCAATGATGGTGGGTGCAGTTCCATGTCCAATCACTAGAGGCGCTGATGAGTCGAATAGTAAAGTCCAGCATGAATCAATCTTAAAGAAGTCTTCTTTCAAMTGGCAAACATAATATGGAGCAAGCATTTATTTTGTCACATGCTTTGAGAATATTTCATCCATGTACAGTAAAAATGCATGTAACATTGATAAGAAGAATTTGAGCTTTTTTTTATTAACATTACGTTACGTTACAATTGTTAAAACATATGTGACAGGTAAAATTTATACACCTTACCAAAACCGAGGATTTATGTGCAAGGATGTTGAACAAATACTTGGCCCCTCTATGAATATTGTGGCCCCTTGATGGCCCCTTATTCAGAAAAATCCTAGATCCGCCACTGAGCTACTATAACCCCAAATTTCAGCTCAGCAACTGTAAAATTGCCTGAGTTGAGGCCGGTATTGTTTACTGAAGTCATTTACAGTGGTTTGCAAAAGTATTCATACCCCTTGAACTTTTCCATATTTTGTCACATTACAACCACAAACATAAATATATTTCACTGGAATTTAATGTGAAAGACCAACACAAAGTGGTATACAATTGTGAAGTGGAAGCAAAATTTTACATGAATCAAAACATTTTTTACAAATAAAAAACTGAAAAGTGCGATGTGCAAAAGTATTCAGCCCCCCTGAGTCAATACTTTGTGGAGCCACCTTTTGCTGCAATTACAGCTGCAAGTCTTTTTGGGTATGTCTCCACCAGCTTTGCACATCTAGTGACTGCAATTCTTGCCCATTCCTCCTTGCAAAACAGCTCAAGCTCAGTCAGATTGGATGGAGAGCGTTTGTGAACAGCAGTTTTGAGATCTTGCCACAAATTCTCAATTGGGTTTAGGTCTGGACTTTGACTGGGCCATTCTAACACATGAATATTCTTTTTTTTAAACCACTCCATTGTAGCTTTGGCTTTATGTTTAGGGTCGTTGTCCTGCTGGAAGGTGAACCTCCGCCCCAGTCTCAAATCTTTTGTTGACTCCAACAGGTTTTCTTCCAAGATTGCCCTGTATTTGGCTCCATCCATCTTCCCATCAACTTTGACCAACTTCCCGGTCCCTGCTGAAGAGAAGCACCCCCAGAGCATGATGCTGCCACCACCATATTTGACAGTGGGGATGGTGTTTTCAGAGTGATGTGCAGTGTTCTTTCTCCGCCACACATAGCGTTTTGCATTGTGGCCAAAAAGTTCAATTTTGGTCTCGTCTGACCAAAGCACCTTCTTCCACATGTTTGCTGTGTCCTCAACATGGCTTCTGGCAAACTGCAAACGGGACTTCTTATGGTTTTCTTTTAACAATGGCTTTCTCCTTGCCACTCTTCCATAAAGACCACATTTGTGTAGTGCACGACTAATTGTTGTCCTGTGGACAGTTTCCCCCACCTGAGCTGTGGCTCTCTGCATTTCATCCAGAGTCACCATGGGCCTCTTGGCTGCCTCTCTGATCAGTGATCTCCTTGTTCGGCCTGTAAGTTTAGGTGGACGGCCTTGTCTTGGCAGGTTTACTGTGGTGCCATACTCTTTCCATTTCCGGATGATGGATTGAACAGTGCTCCGTGAGATGTTCAAAGCTTGGGAAATCTTTTTATAACCTAAGCCTGCTTTAAACTTCTCCAAAACCATATTCCTAACCTGTCTGGTGTGTTCTTTGGACTTCATGATGCTGTTTGCTCCCCAATATTCTCTTAACCAACATCTGAGGCCGTCACGGAGCAGCTGTATTTGTACTGAGATTAGATTACACACAGGTGGACCCTTTTGAGTCATTAGCAGTCATCAGGCAACTTCTGAATGCAATTGGTTGCACTCAGGGAAAAGGGGGCTGAATACTTTTGCACATCGCACTTTTCAGTTTTTTATTTGTAAAAAATGTTTTGATTCATGTAAAATTTTGCTTCCACTTCACAATTGTATACCACTTTGTGTTGGTCTTTCACATTAAATTCCAGTGAAATATATTTATGTTTGTGGTTGTAATGTGACAAAATATGGAAAAGTTCAAGGGGTATGAATACTTTTGCAAACCACTGTAGCTGTGGCAGCCATCTTGAACTGGCCTGACTCCAAAAGCCGATCAGTTGTTGATGCACATCCAGTGATTAGTTTGAGGATTTCTTTAAAATCTGCCCAGTGGTAAAAGAAAGACTAAATCAATCAAAAAGCAAGGCAATAACATGATCTCTCACCAGCATGATTGGCAGGTGATAATGAAGACACTACTTCTACGATGACATCACATTTGCTAAAACAATTTTTGAAGAGCTAAAAGTTAATTATTTAATCTCAACTTTCACAGCAGATCAATCTTTATCTTCTTCATATTAAATCTAAACACACTGTTGTGACCTATAAAGGTTTTTGAGGCCATGAAAATAATGATAAAAAAAATAATGATTAATATTTTAGAAAATCTTTTTATTCCATGTTTTGAAGAACAGAGAAATTTCCAAATCAAAGTCCACATTTTTTGTAAACAATTTAAAAATAACATTAAATACAATTTAAAAACAAAATGTTGTCGACTCTCACTGCTAAAATATCAGGCAAAATTCTGACACAAGAACAGTCAGAGCAATGGAGAACCAAAAGTGCCATTTAAAATCAGTTGAAATATAAAAATGCTCATCTGCATCATTTTTTAAAAATAGATTTGATTCTGCTGAATAAAAAGTTGTTCTAACGAACAGATGTCCCAGAATAAAAACAAAAAAATCTGTCACTACGGTGGTTGTAGTTTCATAACTTAGAAAGAAAAATTTAAGAACACATTCATTCGGAGGTAGTACAATAATTTCTTTGAGAAGGCAAATCGTGTGTGCACTTTGATCAAATCAAACCACATAAAAATATTTCTAGTAAAACAAAAACAATTTTAAAAAAAAGGTGATACGAGATCAAAGGAAGCCCTGAGGAATGCCGTTTTCCTCCGGGTCGTAGGCAGCTCCGTGGCGTTTGCCTCCTCTGAGGAAGTGGAGGCTCTGTGGTTTTGCAGGTGCAGAGAGGTACCACATGACCACACCTGTGGGGTTCACCGCCACCTCGAACACTGTGGAGTCCATCAGCACGTCGGTCTTATCAGTGAAAACATCGTGCACCTGAAGAGGAGAAGACAGGAAAATGCTACGCTCAGCGTCCAGCGCAGTGATGAGTTAGCGTGACAGAGTTATTGTCTGAACGCTCATGATTCACGGTTGTTTTCTTCTTATTTTTATTTTTCTATGTGCATTTTCCCCCTCCATTCTAAATATTTTTAAAAAGGACTGAGCTGAAGTCGTTTTTGTGTTTCAAACCACCATCTGGAAAGTAAAAAAACTCCAAAAAGGTATTTTGTTGTAGATGTACACCCAATGATTACTTTCTAAGATATTTTGCTAACAGACACACAGACAAAGGCTATTACATGATTGCTCTTTTTTCATGACAGCAGGTGGTAACAGGGACATACCTTGTAGGTGCCAGTGGTGTAGTTGAGTTTGCTGAGGGAAGTCTTGTAGCGATAAGGCATGTCGGTACGGCGGCTAAAGAAAACTAAAGCACTGGCGTTGTTTGACAGGGGGCGCCAGTACACCTCAATGTTACTCTTCTCCTAAACGTAAAAATAAATGAATCAGCAGAGCTTGTGAGTACGATGGATTTAGGGCCACACAACGAGATATTTTTATTTTTTTTAAATTACAAGAATAAAGTCACAATATTACGACATTAAAGTCGTATGAAAATAAAGTCATAAAATTATGAGAATAAAGTCATAATATTACAAGATTAAAGTCATAATATTATGAGAATAAAGTCATAATATTACGACATTAAAGTCATGAAAATAAAGTCATAAAATTATGAGAATAAAGTCATAATATTACGACATTAAAGTCATAATATTATGAGAATAAAGTCATAATATTACGACATTAAAGTCATGAAAATAAAGTCATAAAATTATGAGAATAAAGTCATAATATTACGACATTAAAGTCATAATATTATGAGAATA